ACAGCCGTAAATACTGGTGGGCACGGACTAACGACGCTCGGCGTCGCTGTGTGCTGCGTACCCAGGACCCATGACACTGAAGCGTTTTAGATCTATTTTGTACAACACTTGCACATGTATTGAAGCCTATGTGGCGAGCCTGAATGGACGAAACAAATCAAAAACTAGCAATTAAACTGAAGGAGTCACATTGAACACATTGAAATTTGGGGGTATGGGGTGTTGATGAACGTCCCTCTTTTGCTTCTTTTCATGCGGTTGATGGTGTCCGCAGTTGAGTTTCTCGCACCGGCCTGAATTAGGCCCAAGAGTACTTGTCATGTTAGAAAAGGACCGTGTCTTTTTACTGCGCATAGCCATGCTTTAGGGATTGCACTGACATTGGTGCCGCGGAGCTGCTGGCTACAATCCAGAGATCATGAGAAAATGGCAGCCTCGTGAAACAGCTGCCACAGTTGATGAGCCCGATTCGCAAGACCCTTGGGACTCTTGGCAAAAGAAAGGAAAAGGTAAGGGGAAGACCAGTGAAGCTGCCTCGGTTCCATCCGCCAGTGACCGCACCTGACGCTGAAGCTTCCGATCCGTGGGCGGCTGAACCTTGGCAGGACCCTTGGGCAGAAGCTCCTTGGCTGGAAGCGGATTGGGGTGACGAGGGATGGTACCAGGAGACCTGGGAGAGCGATGAGCAGCAGCTCTATCGCCGTTATGGTGGTCCTCGAAAGCACCCCTCTAGCACGGGATGGGATGATGCCGCTTGGGATGCTGCTTCGTCATCTCGCGGCTGGCTGACCTGCTGCGTCGGTTCAACACTGCGCCCCTTGGCCACATGACTGCGACCGCCGATGGAAAGTGGCTTGGTTCCTTTCACCCTGTTGGAGACCCAGGTGGCCTTGAATGGGATGGCGCTCCCTATGTCCCAGAGCATTCTAGAGACATGAAACCCACTGAGCGTGTGAAGGTGCCTTCCGTTGACGGTGGCACCACTGATGAGTCCAACCCTGAGGCCATTGGTAAATCCGCCAGGTCCTATGTTCGTCGTGTCCAGGCCTGGCTTCGGGTGACCAAGTTGCCTCGTTCACACCAAGCACTTGCCTTGTATGACGCTTTGACCGACAAGGCATGGGTGGTAGCTGAAGAACTTGACCTCGATGTGCTTTCCACCTCTCATGGCGTTCCCTACTTTTTGGAATGGGCGCAAACCCGTTTCATGGACGTTTCGCTGCGAGCGACGACAAGACCAGTCAGTGCGTGAGTTCAATGTCAAGTTTGAGAGGATGGTCTTGAGACTTCATGAGGTTCGCTGCGAGCTCCCCTCCTTTGGTCAAGGCCTGGCTCTACGTAGATAAGCTCAGGTTGTCAGAAGCTGAGGAGTTGGCGCTCTTGGCATCGGTGGGCAATGAATATGATGTTCGACGGCTTCAACATGCCGCGTTGGCCCAAGACCGCACCTTGAGGCGCAACCGGAGCACTCAACCTCCTTCCGATGGAAAGGGCAGACCGCGCTGGCGACAGTCAGTGCACATGACGGGCCTTTTTTTGAGGACGACAACCTGAAGGAGGCCAGCGACACCTCCATCCTGGTCGATGAAGACACCGCTATGGCTGAGCATTCTGCCTACATGACCTACCAGGGGGCCAAGGCCAAGTACAAGGAGTCCCTCCAAGGCCGGGGCACTGATCCGGCCGAACTCAAGCGTCGTGCAGAAGAACGCCTTCGCTTAGCAAAACAGAGATCTTACTGCAGTGCCTGCAAGAGGCGGGGCCACTGGCACAAGGACCCCGAGTGCCCCTTGAAAGGGCAACGACGGACCGCTGCTGCCCCTAGTCCTTCGGGGGCCACCCAACAGGCCCAAGTGTGTCACACAGTGCAATCCCGATTTTTGTCAGAAGAGGTCTTTTTGATGGAGGAGGACGGGTGTGACATTTTGGGAAGTGTCCAGTCCTGCTTCATGACGGCCTTTGAGGAGACAGCGATTTCCGAGCTCCGGAGGGTGGCCTCTTACAGAAGGAGCGCGCGCTGGCGATTGTCGACACGGCCTGCACGAAGTCAGTCGCCGGATACCAGTGGCTCGAACAATTTGTAGTTGAGGCGGAGAACCGTCACCACGAGGTGAAGATCGTGGACGAGATCGAACATTTCAAGTTTGGAGCCTCACGAGTCTACAGGTCGACATTCTCGATCTGGGCCTGGTTTGGGATCGCCCACCATTGGGTAGCTGTGAAGATCTCGACAGTCCAATGCCAAGTACCTCTTCTTTTGAGCCGCTCTGCCTTGGCTGCTCTTGGCACCACCTTTGACATCGCTGCCCAGGAATTGGCCATGCATCGACTTGGAGTCCATGGCCTACCCTTGGAGCAGAGTGAGACTGGGCACCCGGCTTTAGCTGTGACTTGTTTTCCTTCAGGCAGTCCACCCGATATGACTGCCTGCACTGGATCCCAACTTCGCAGGTATATATGAGTGCGACTGCTGCCTCCGGGGACGGAGAGGAGACTCGGTCCAAGCTTCTCGACGATGTCCTCCATCAAGAACACGGATGTCGCCAACAGAGATGTGCCATTTTCTACAGAGGGCGAGCTGGATGGCCAGGAGGATGCTGTGACGGCAAGCGGTGGGTACCTCCAAAGAGCAGAGTTCCTGCGAGAGCTTCATCCACCAGAGCTTGGGAGAAGTACTCAAACCAAATACCCCTTTCACAACTTCCACAAGCTGGCCCGGCTGTAGCCCTCTGACTCCTCCACGAGGTTGCCTGAAATAAAGTTGGCGAGGGGCAGGTACACCGTTCAAGAAGGTAGAGGAGGTCCCTTGGGGCCTCATACCACCAGTCTGGACAATGAGCGACCACTGTACTTGGAGGCAGAAGACAAGCAGTGGCAAGAACATGTCTCTTTCGGAGCAGTACGACCCCTTTCCTTGGAAGAGAGCAAAATGGTGGAGGACACGGTCCATCCTTCCCGCATCTTGAGAGCTCGCTATGCCTACAAGGGCAAAAATCAATTTGGGAGTGAAAGACATGTCAGTGGATGCGGACCACGACGGAGACAAGATTATCGTCCAGCACAATCCCATTGATCCTTGTGTATTCATGCTGATGCCCAAACAGCATGACCGCACCATGGGCTTGCTCCTCACTCACGTTGATGATTTGATGCTTTTGGCTGAGGCCAGCCTTGCGAAAAAGCTGCAGCAAGAACTGGGGACTCGCTTTCCCGTCGACGAATGGCAACAGGATGACTTTGAGTACGTCGGCTGCAAGCACACGGTCTCAGACAATGCGGTCTTCATTTCCCAAAAGGGGTACACCAAGAGCCGTGTGTCCCGTGTCACCATTGGAAAGAGCTCTGTGGTCGAGCCTGAGCAGATTGAAGAAAACCGGACCTCAATCGGCAGCCTTTCTTGGCAGTCAAGACAGACTCGTCCAGACATCCAGTTCTTCGTATCTCAAGCTCAGAAGCGCCAGAACGCCCCAGAGCTCGAGGACCTGAAGTTCACCAACAAGGCTGTGAACCTAGCCTCCAAGCATAAGGATGAGGGCATCCACATCAGGGCCATAGAAGAGGGCCAGATCGCCTTCCTGGCCTACCGCGATGCAGCTTGGGGAAACGCCGACCTTGAAGACGGTTTTGACCCTCAGTGGACTGGCTCGCATCAAGTGGCTTCTCAAATTGGCTCGCTCATCTTCATGGTCCACAAGGACTGCTTGGGGGGGCCGTGGTGGACCTTTCAGTCTCATCGACTGGAAGAGCAAGGGATGCCAGCGAGTTTGCAGATCAACGTTCGCAGGTGAGACAATGGCATGCTGCGAGGCCACCGAGAGCGGGTTGTTCCTCCGCGCCCTGTTCCTCTCAATGATCCATGGGAAGATCATCCCTGAGCAGGATGGTGGCAAGTTCTTTGAGCTGCATCGGGTCACGGACTGCAAAAGCCTTTACGATCACATCCGTCGTGAAGGCGTTCCCAAGTCTCCCACAGAGAAGAGGCTGGCAATAGATCTTGCAGGGGTCAGACAGACCCGGACTCGAGAAGCGCAGTTCCAGTGGAAACGCATGTATGGAGAAGATGCCTCTCATGCACCTGAGAGACCATGTCGTCCTCCACTGCACTGGCTCCCTACTCAGAGCCAGCTCGCTGACCTCCTCACCATGGCCATGAACGTGGACGAATGGTGGGCGACGCTTCGCAGCGGCCAGTTGCAGCTGCCTTTGAAGCGGTAGCGAGGTCAGCAGAAGAGGGAGATCATTTTTGATCAGTGTTGATGAACGTCCCTCTTTTGCTTCTTTTCATGCGGTCGATGGTGTCCGCAGTTGAGTTTCTCGCACCGGCCTGAATTAGGCCCAAGAGTACTTGTCATGTTAGAAAAGGACCGTGTCTCTTTACTGCGCATAGCCATGCTTTAGGGATTGCACTGACATGGGGTTGACTTAGAGGTTTGAATGTTTTGTCAATCTTTCACCCAGCTCGTGGCCAGCAGAGGCCTGTCAGATGCAAATCCTGCTTGCCTCACACCGGCAGCAATGACAAATTCGCAACAGCAGAGGAGAAACGCGACTAAGCAAAGCACTGTGGGTGCAGCAAGCTTTGCAGCAAGAATCTATAAGAATCTATCCAGCCATTGTTCGTTCCATATTGAGGCACGCAGCTTCCTTTGCATTGCACCACTTTGTATTCGCGCAATTGGCTCAAAAACAACTGCAGACGTAAACTTGCAAGTGATGCCAAAGGATCTCAAGTGCCAAGAATCAAATCCAGCAGTACACGTTGTTCCAGAATTCATGTTAGCACCTCTCAGTCCTGTTTCTTTGAGCAACGTCAGTGTTCCAAAGAAATACACAGCAGCTCAATGCTTTTACAGGGTTATTTTTCTTGGGCACAAGGACGCTACTAGGGGATCCTGGCCTTACTAGGAACAAGGACGCTATTAGGGCTCCTGGCATCGCTGCTAGGAGCATTCTTACTACTAGTAACAAGAAGCTACTAGTAGCTCCTGGCAAGGAACCCGGGCATCGCTACTAGGAGCATTCTTACTACTAGTAACAAGATGTTTACTGATCCCGCGGTGAACCCAATGAAGCTGCAGTGGCTGGTCTTCTTTTCCGGAAGTCCAAGCAGGGGAGACTGGAAACGGGTCGACGCAGCCTCCCGCATTGTCCGGGCAGCATTGTCCTGCAACAGTCAATGTCACTTGGTATTTGAAGACAGGACTTGCATCAGCATCGAACCTCACTTCTTGCTTGGAGTTTGGACGGGCACAGAGGCCCACTATTTTGAGTTGATCCAGTCTATCGTGAAGGGGGAGACCTATCCTGGAGTATTGCTTCAGGGAAATAGCTCGAGGATGGCTTTGAAAGAGTGTTTGTCAACTCTGATCATTCAGCAGATGCCAAATATTGATGTCGTGCTCGACTTTCGCGAAGATGGAGCCATGGTCTTGGGGGGATTTGGTGAACAAAGGCCTCCCTCACGACCTACCGCCGCTCTTTGTGTCATCGGCGGAGTTCGTGACATTCACCAGCGAGAACATGATGTGTTAAACACTATTTGTGAGCAGCTGCAGAAACCACAACTGAGTGTAAGCTTGGGATCAAAAGCGGAGCTTACTTCGAAGTGTATCAAGGTGGCTTGGAGCATTTTTTGCGCTTTCTTTGGCAACTTGAATTCTTTCACAAGGCTTGTTGTGAGTTGCGCAAAATCCTGCTTCCGTTGAATGATATCGTGATATCTCTGGTTGATTGATTTTTGCGTACTTACAACAAACCCCAAACCAACCATATTTGTGACATATCTGATGGCAATGCTGTTGAAGTACCTAACCAGGCAAAGTGTCAAAACAAAATCCAACACACCTAAAACCAACAATTTCTGCGACGTGTTTGATGGCAAAGCTCCGGAAGTACAAACAAAAAAACTCAAAAAAGTCAATGATTTCCACACTAGTCCAAAGCTGAAATCAAAGTAGTGTGGAACTCATTGAGTCTTTTGAGTTTCAAGCATCAATCTCCCTCCTTTATTGTTTTTGTTTTTTGGGGTAAGATGTATTCTTAGCGAGGGGTAAGTAGTATCAAGGAAGCAACTACCTTGGACACAGGGCTAGGTTTCTTCAAGAAAGCAATTGGATTTTTGTTCCTGGATGTTGAGGGAAACGTGCAAAGGGACAAACAGCATCATTTTGCACCAGATGCTTAATGTGTACATACAGTATATGTTTTTCCCCAGGTAGCTGCAGGCTTTAGGGGTTCCAACTTCTCAATGGTGTGGCTTTGGATCGGCGTTTTGGTTTTGCGTGTGCTGCTGCCGTGCTGATGCTGGTGCAGGTGCTGTGCTGATGCTGGTGCAGGTGCAGGTGCTGGCTCTGGATTGGCGTTTTGGTTTTGCAAGTGCTGCTGCTGTGCTGGTGCAGGTGCTGGCGCTGGATCGGCGTTTTGCTTTGCTGGTGCTGGCGCCGTGCTGGTGCTAGTGCAGGCCCGGCTCTGGATCGGCGTATCGTTTTGCGGGTGCTGTTTTGCGTCCGCGCTGGTGCTGGCGCATTCGTTTTGCGGGTGCTGCTGTTGTGCTGGCGCTGGCTCCGGATCGGCGTTTTGTTTTGCGGGTGCTGGTGCCGTGCTGGTTCTGGCGCAGGCGCTGGCTCTGGATCGGCGCTTCGTTTTGCGTCATGCCAGGGTTGACTTCATGTCATGCCAGGGATGACATCAGGTCATGCCAGGGCTGACATCGTGTCATGCCAGGGATGACATCATGGCATGCCCAGAATGACATCCTGTCATGCCCAGAATGACATCATGTCAGGCCCAAAAATAACATCAGTTGATGCCAGGATGACATCATGTCCTGTCAGGGATGACATCATGTCATGCCCAGAATGACAGCATGTCACGCCAGGGGTGACATCGTGTTACGCCAGGGATGACATCATGGTTACATCATGTCATGCCAGGGCACGTCATGCCCAGAATGCCATCATGTCATGCCAGGGTTGACGTCATGTCATGCCAGGGACTACATGCTGTCATATCGTGCCTGACACCGTGTTGCGCAGCAATGATCATCATGTCGTGTGGGCAGCTTTACGTCTGTGTTGGGCAAAGCGGGCACATTCAGCTCCATAGATGTTGTGCAGATTGGTGGACTGGTCTGATGTTGTGTGCTGCGGTGATAGCCGTCCGTGGCGTGTCCTCTAAACCCATACGCCCGCCATCTGGGTTCCATGCCGGTGTAATTATAGAGAGAGTCTCGTGTTTACACCACTGCTCCAAACGTACCTCACCTTCTTATGGAGAGAGTGGTCAAAGAGTACTAGCTTGCCCACCCTCAATTCATGCTAGTAGTTTATGTGTTTGGTCATGAAAGTGGTGGGTGCAAAATACTGCGTTGATCGGCTCAATTGACCCTGTTGTATGATGCTTCGCCTGGTAAGAAGGCCTGACGATGGCGCTAGCCTTTTAAGTGTTGCAAAGGTCAATGACTAAGTGCAGCATCAGCCGAGGCTGTGGGAGAGATGAATCGCAGCGTTCACTTTGGCAATGCAGTGTCGAGCCTGCTGGCAAAAACTCGTGATCCACCCCCGCACGCACCAAGTCGAAGGCCACATTTGCATTTGATCGTTTCTTGGATTTGCGTAATGTGCTTTACATGTCATTTTGAGTCCTGCTTGTTTGCTTCGCAGCTTGATAACGATCCGAGGTTCTTACTCCGGGAGGACTGACATTGTCTGAGTTTGTAGAGCGTCCAGGGACTGCCACAATGGTTGTTGATGCATTTATCCACAGTCACGGTACTCTGGTTGCATCGTTTAGCGGTCGCACGTCCATTAGAGGCGGAATGCCTTCACGAGCAAATTGTTGCAAAAGTGCAGTTTCCTGTAAATGAATGTTTATTGCGTAAAGACGTGAGGCATCTACAGCAACACTTGGTTTCTTGCCTGCACATGAGCCTTTTGAATCGTTGTTACATGTGGGACTTTGCTGCTCCAGTCTTGCTTCCAACGAATAACTGCACAACTTCTACTAATGTCGACTAAAACAGCGTGATGCAGGGGAGAATCAAGTTCGCCTTGATTTGAGATGGAAACCGCCTTCCATAGTCATGCACAGAGTCATGCAGTCCTTATCCGTAATGGTTCTGCAACAAAAACCTCGAAGCTTATGGGATGGTCCGGTGCAACAACGAAGTCTCACAGTTGAGCTGAGGCTGAGCATCCTCTCTTTGAAAGGCCAGCATGATCTGCAGATTAAACAGTGTGCCATTTTTTGCGCATGTATGCGCAATGCTTTTTTAATTTAATGCCTTTTTTTCAGGCGAGTCCTTGACAATTCAAGCGCCTGGAAAGTGCCTTGCTGAAGCTGATGCAACAGACTTTCTCAAGGCTTGGCTAAGTGTGTAGTGGATGGTGTTCGAATGACCACCAAACCAAACTAAGATCTCTTCTGGCTTTGCGTGCAGCTTTGCATGCAGCTTTGCATGCAGCTTCGCACCAGTTTCGCGAGGAAAAGCTGCGTCGAAATGTACCGCGGAACCTTGAGGTCAGAGCGTCACCTATTCGCCCTTTCAAGGGACTCGACATGCTTTGTAAAATTTGTGGAAAAGTTGTTTTGAACTAGAGCTCATGGGTTGCTGTCTTGCCCATCTAGGTGGTCTGTCCGTCTTGATCAAAAAATGAGGAGACACTTCGTGACGGCAAGCAACACTTGCAGCGTGCCCTGGTGGTCGACGAAGAGAGGCCACATGGGACACAGGGGCTTCCACGGCCTCAGATTAGACTAGTCCCCATTCTCGAGTGTGCTGTTCATCCACACTTGTATTCATATATTGTAAAGCTTCACACGATCTGCCGGGCCATAAAATGTTTGAAACGTCGCCCATGCCATGAATGTCTTGAACGTTTTTTTTTGCCAAGTGTTTGCAGCATGGTCATGAAACGAGGGGACGCCCAGTGTTGTTCTAATGGAGTACTCCTTTTTGCTTGTGCCCAAGCAGTAGGGTTGAACACCCTTTTCAAAGCAGCTTTCATTTATCAACAGAACTACTCACTGGTCTTATTTACTGTACCTATTTGTTATGAACTCTGTTTGTTTCCGAAAGCACCTGCAAAGGTGTAAAGAGGTTCTCCGCAAAAAAACGGCTACTAACTGTCCAATCCAACCATCAATTGTCCAACCATCATCATCATCACCATCATCATCGTTATTTTTCTCGATACCTATGAGTGATGGTTGCATGGACCTCCAGATGGGTCCTGTGCCAGCATGCTTCGTGTGTCCTACGACCTCGAGAACGAGGCATCAAAAAGCATGGCCAGCTAGGAAGTGGCTTCCCGGGCCCGCAGGCTCGCAGCAGGCGCACTAACGTGTTGGGCGCGCCATGTCCTGAAATCACGCAGCCAGGATGTCAGCAAGGCGCTCAGAATCAGCGCGCTAGCTGGATCTCCTCAAAGTGCTTGACCATGTCTTCAGGCCATGTGCAGCAGCAGATGCTCTTCCTGACCAGGCGGTAGCAAAGAAAGGATGCTCCCAACCATCGACTCCTCTGAGGGTATTGCAGCGCCAGCCAAGGCAAGTGGGAGCGCAGGAGTGTAATCCTCAGCACCTGCACATGACGACCACGTTGAAGCGTCGGCGTGAAGCACTGGGCCAGCGGCGTCGTTGTAGATCCACCAGCCACCCGAAAGAAGATGTTCAAGGTGGCCAGGACAAAGCAAGGCCCTACCCCATTCCAAGCGCGTCGAACCGATCGATTTGGAGGGAAGTGAGATCTGCCAGTCCCAGTAGAGCATGAAGGCCACGGAAGAGACTCCCATTTGCTGCTACAGAAGATGGGATTCAACAGTTGCAAAAGTGAACAAAGTCAATGACATCATGCTGCCGAAATGTTGCGGCGAGTGCAGGGTGTTGTCCATTGCCCACTTGACCAAAGTAACAACGGAGGCCCTTGTGGTTGTTCCGACTATGGCCGCGCCTCAGCTAGGTCGGCCGCAGGCATTCCAGCGTGCGGCGCAGGAAGTTGGGATGGAGGTGAGCGTTGCGCGGTTGCTGGTTTCATCCATCAGCTGCCAACGCCCCATGCAGCTGAGGTGGCGCCAAAGCCCAGACAGTCTTCAGTTCATCTTCAGGTTTGGTTTGATGTTAACCCCGGCTGGGCGTGTAGCTTCTATGGCCTCGGGGCTGACAAAGTGGCTCTGGCCTGCGTGTAGCGTGCGGCGTGCAGTGGAGGGGCATTACGTCGCGCGGCTTTGCGCCTCAGCCGATAAAGCGCGTTTGCGTGGCCCCTTGCCACTGGGAGATGGGGAACACGCGTGTGCAAAAAGGTGACGCCAAGCCGCGTTCACATGACAAAACATCTGGCTCTCCAGCGACAAGCTGTGTCTACACGCTCGCCTCCCATTCCCCCAATGGCACGGAGCCACACAAACGCGCTTTCCTCCGACGCCGCGTGACGCAGCGACATCTCAGGCGTAATTTCACCACACTGTTTGCCACGCAATACAACAACGCAGCGCCACGCCTTGTTTGCGCCGCCAATCTTTGGATGTCGCTGCGCCACGTCGTTTTGCGCGTATTTGTTGCGTCGTACCGCGCCATTCGGAAACGGGGCGCGTGCGTGTAATAAACGCTGCGTGTCGTTGGTGAGCGGCGGGATCATGCGTCAGCGAGGCTTGCGTATATAAAGCGGTGCGCCGAAATTACGTCTGCGATGTGGCTGTGCCATGTTTGCGCGGCCTTGATGGAAAGTGCGCTTGCGTGGCTCCGTGCTGTTCGGGAAGGGAAACATGATCGGACCAGTTCTGAGGCCAAAACTCTCAGAAGCTGCCACAGCTTCCAAAAGCTGCCTCTTGCGCTTTGCACTACAAAGGCGCCGCAGCTCCCAGAAGCCGCTTCCCGTACTACATGTGCACCAAAAAGCTTGCATTTCGACGACTGTTACACGACGACAGCTAAACACCTTGGCAACTTCCACCTTCGTTTTCGACAACAGTTATGCACACGTTGCAAAATCAGGCAACCTCCAGCTTGCGCAAAGATTGGTGTCGCCTTCCTCTCTCACTCTCTCTCTCTCTCTCTGTCTCTCTCTCTACCGTCTTCTCCTTTCTCTCTTTCGTAAATGTTTTCTTTCTCTCTTTAGGCCTGGGGCTTGGGCGCGGTTTCGCCATCAGTGGCAAGTGGCAAGGGGCAAACACGTTTGCGTGAATCGGCGCCCGTGAGCGGGATGATTGGCTGTGTCCACGAGGCTTGGCGCTACATTGTTGTTCTGCTTCTGTGGCGCACTGTCGGCAAAATGACATTTGCGATGTCGCTGTTTGCGTGGCCCCGGGCCCTTGGGAAACATGCGTGCGTAAACGCGGCGACCAGTAAAAAGAAACGTTGCGCGCGCGCGCGCGCAAACTGAACAAAAACAGAACTTACACGCATGTATTTCAACGCTCGTTTTGTAGAGGATTGTTTGTAGCCTCTTGTATTTCCATAGGGTCGGTTGCCTTCCTTGTTGGGTTTCTATTTGGGGCATGTTGAGCCACAAATTCTAATCAGGCTGTCACGCCAGCCAATGGGGCTTCATTGGGGGCTTTTCAAAAATTGCCCGGAAACCTTATTTTCCATGTTACCTAGCGATAGGGTGGGCTGAGGAACTTCAAACGACAACCTTGAACCAGTTGGATGCCCGTTGCTCGCCTTTAGAAGTCTCAGCTAGGGCGAGTTTATCACGCACTGGGTTTCGTAGGTTCTGTGCGAGGCCCGGGCTACAAATGTTTGATTCCGTGGCATCCCCTGAAGATATGAAGGTGCGGCGCTGAAAGAGCGATCGCAATTTTTTGAGTCCGAGTCGCAGTGTGTGAGGTTCCCGTGGTGGTCATTTTTACCAACAACCGTGAGGAGCGTGAAAAGACACTTGATGCGCTCGGGGCTGCAGGCAACCAATGCTCCAGATATCCTTTGTTTTTGAGTCCTGCGCCGTGTGTGAACTCATGCCAGCGGAAGGCATAGTCTTCCATGGGCAAGCTTCCATGGGGGGCCTTGGGCCAGGGCTCGCATATGTGCGTGGCTGAGTTTCCGCTATGAAAAAACATCCCCTTTTCAATTCCTTTGCAAGGCAAATATGCTACATAACTCCGCATTGCTGGCTCCGGTCCTGAAAGCTCCGCTGGCTCGACGACCTGCACCGAAACTAGGGCGAAGGGGGTGGTGTAAGGGTGAACATGCAAGAGCAGCTGCGGGAACAGTATTGAAACCATTCCTCTCGTTTTGCAGCCCCACGCTGGCTCATGGAAGACATGGGGTTGCATGTGTGCCGTCTATTTACTTCTAACAGTACGCACTGAGGAAGCCATTGCAGCCATCGTGCCCCACTGTCAGTACCATGCCTTTTTGTTGTCTCTTTGTTATGTTGCTGCAAGACTCTGCTTGTAAACATGATGGTGTAAAATAGAAGTCGCTTGATGAGCTGAGGCTTATCGTCCAGAGTTCCAGCTCATGAGAGACCTAAAGGCAAAGTTCTTTTCAGATAGGGTGTTGTGTTGGCTTCGATCTTCAGACGCACCTGGAGGTGTGAGACGCTTGGCACCATGGGCTACCAAGCAACCAGAGGCCAACAACACTTGTGGTTTGCCACCAGCGTTCCGCCTGACATAAGCCTCGAATGTTGTGCTAAGCTCTGCTTGCACTTGGGAGGCATCACCTGACGATACTACGCTGTCGAAAGGCCAAAGCATGTCCGGTCACTGGGCTTTAGATGCAGCTTGATATTTGAGACTCGTACGTAGCTTGCTTGCTCCAAGATTCGTGTTGTCAATCTGAACCCAGATAGACATTTTTTGTTGGCTCGTGAGACCATGCCAACTTACTACGTGCGAAATGAGTGTGCCCGAAGACGTGCGTGTTTTTTAAATTAACATGTGAGCGACCGCAAAAACACGCAATGACTGATTTAGTAAAGAGCGGTCGTGAAATTCATGAATTCTGCTGAAACCTGCAAAAGCGATAGGCCCTCCTCAAAAGCGATAACCATATTTCCGCAGCTGTTGGATATGTTCAGCTATGTTGACACTGTTGCTAAAACCTGCAAAAGCGATAGGCCCCCTCAAAAGCCACAACCTTTCTCTGTGATGTCCGCTACTTGACAGTGCGTTTTGGCAGACACGCATGTACAAATATAGTACATATATATAACATGTATAGCGCATACAGTATATGAAGTATATGTGGCACACGCGCCCCCGGAACATAGGTTTCAATACTGTGTATATATATATATATATATAATCATCCTGGAGTAGATAGAACGGACGAACTTTCAAAAAACATGTCACTCCTCAAAACCGGCCCTTCCAAACCCCATAGATAGAATATGGTTGTAGGGGCTTCTCTTCCTTTTCCTTTGTTGTCCTTTTCCTTCTCTGTTCGTTCTATTTTCTGTTCGTCTAAAGAAAAGAAAAAAGGAAGGAAAGCTTAGATAATACACACAGGAACAGAACATGAAAATAACAAAGGAGCAAATACCGGAATGGGAGGAGTTGATAAGAATCTTATCACTATATTCTATCTATGGGGTCAGTCTTCATAAAATCAAAGGGATGTCAAAAACCCTGAGTTTTTTCAAAAAGAAAATCACCCCCTACGAAAGTAGATTCTATCTACTCCAGGATGATTATATATCAAAATCGCACAGGACTGTTCCGACTGTCAGCGATGGGGCGCGCTTATTTTCCATCTCATGCCTCGAGCATCTGACGGCCCCCTGCGGTAGACGGCTGGCGTTCATGCCTGCTTTCAACACTGCTTATATTCTCTAAACAAAACGAAATGCACAGTGCTTCGGCTGCCAACCTCGTCAGGCCTTCTTGCCAGGCCTTCTAGGCTTTGAAAATCCGGCAAGTGCTGGCGCCGTCTCCGATCGTCGGATCGGCTTTCTGCTCTTCCAAATCCATGTGGTGGATATAGTTGGCGAGGTCTGCCAACTCACCACCAGCACTGCTGCGACGATTGCGCGCCCACATGAGGTATGAAAGCACCTCCTCAGACTTTGAACAAAAGAGGTCTGAGTAGCTCATGCCTTTGCCCTTGAACTTTCCAAAGCGAACCTCGGTGGTGCCCCACTGAGCAAGATTGCGAATTCCTTCCGGCAGGACGGAAGGTGACAGCTCTTGATGCGATCCTGGGTAAGGTGGAGGCAACATCTCCTTGACGTAAGCCTCACTGATCAGTGGGCTCTCATCGTCAGGGAAGCGCTGAGACCCTTTCTTGATCGACTTCTTGCGCAGCGGCAGTTGGTCATCACCAAGCCGTTTGGAGGCATCGGACATCTGGCTGATCAACTCGAACTCTCCATCGTGACTAGCCATGGGCAAGGCTGATTGCGACTTGAGCCGCGGCATCCTCATGAGTCCACGACGCGTCGCACTGACAGCGCCCGTGAGCTCTTCCACACAAAAAGCTTGAACACCACCGAAAGAGCTGCGGAGTACACAAATCAAAGCATGATGAGCAAAACTGGAAATTGGCTTGCACTACACCTAAAAAGTCAAAAAGGAGTGTAGCTACCCGGGAGCATCTTGTGAAGTTAAATACTCCCACACGATTCAAGACACACTAGCTCCCTGGCCCACCAGCAATGGCTTTCAAGGCGAATTTTCAAGAGGGTCATCGTCGCTTTGGGGTGCTGCTGAGACGCTTGTTGTCTCCTTTTCTGCAAGCGAAGCTCTCTCGTTTGGCAGCTTGCCGTGGGAACGTGTTCTTCTGGGGAGATCTGACGCGCGCCACTTCTGAGGCATGCCCTCAAGACGGCAAGCTCGAGCCTCGTGAATTTCTCAACCGATAAACTCCGTCTGCCGATCCTCGCAACCGAATGCAAGTCCCTGTATGATCATCTAGCGTCACTTTTATCCCCAACGGCCGTCGAGGACAGAAGGACCAGCATTGACATTGCGATCATCCGTGAATCGATCAAACGCGTGAAGGCTTTCATAAGGTGGCTTCCCACCAATCGAATGCTAGCAGACCCAGTCGATCTGAAGAGCTTCACTCAAAATCAAACCATTCCACCGTGCCAGTGGCTGTGGACATGGCTTAGCTTAGCTTTCACCTGCCATGGTTGAACCAACCGCGGGAGCTTGTAGCTTTTCCAGCAGGCGGGGGCCCACCACAAGATGTGGCCATCAATTCAAGGCTCTATTCACAAACAACAACACGTAACCTGCCTGTCCGCTCCAATGATGGAGCAGCCGCAACCGGAGTCCAGGACACCAAAGCCTGGTGAGCTCACGAGCGGCTGTTCGACACTGGGGCTGGAAGGAACTGGAGCTTTAACTTTATCTTGCAACAACTGCAAGGAAAGCCATAGGGAGCGCTGACAAGCAACCAAGACAATGAAGTCTTCTTCCAACCAGCGCAGCAGCGTTCTCTTTCCCTTTTGAAGCTCCTTTGGATGAGGGGCCCTTGGAAGAGTGGCCTTTACCTTGGGCCTTGCACTCTCTCGCCCAATGACCAAGAGCGCCGCATTTGTTGCGCTTGGTTCATCTCAACCTTGACATCTTGTGCCTGTTTGAACTTTCTGGCACGCTGAAGTTGTCCCATTTCTTTTCGGCGTTCACACCAGGAAACAGCTAAGGCTTCAGCCACATCGGGTTCATCGTATGCCTCGGTGGTGTCCTCCGGCATGACTTGATGTTCCGCCAGGAATTGTTCAAGTTTGAAGAATTCTTCTTCTTCTTCTTCTTCTTCAAGGCCGTCGGTCGATCCAGCAACGGTGGAATCCTCAACAAGGGGCACTGCAGCTGTACGGCGCTTACTTACGATGAAGTTGGGGTATAGCGCGGCCGATTTCCTCTCTCTTCAACACTCCAAGGGATCTAGCCAAGATCACTGCCTTTTGCTCGTCGGTGAGCCCAGAACGATGGAGGATCATCCAGCCTCTCGCCTCCTCCGGGAAGTTCACGTTCACCTTGCCTTGACATTTGTCAAACAATTCGGTCGCCCGAGCGATCCAAGCTTTGAGCGACTCTCCTTCAGTGGCCCTCAAGGCAAACGCTTCAGTCAATACCTCGAACATCTCATCCGAAGCATCTTCTGGCGGAAAGCGCTGATCCAGAAGCTCGAACAATGCTTTCTCTATCCTTGCGTTGGTAGGTGGAGGGCTCCAAATGGTCGACGCATTCCAATGCCTTCCCTGACAACAATGTGCACACGAAGGCGCCGCGAGCAGTTTCCGGCAGATTGTCTCTCAGCGTGAGGAGTTTGTTGGTCACCCTTCCAGCGTCGGAGCCACCGCTGAAAGTGGAATCTGATGAGCTGGCCATGGCGTTCATGCCTACGATCCGGCGACGGGGTCCTACCCTACCGGAGCCCTGAAATGCTACCTCCGACCGTCAGCGATGGGGCGCGCCTATTTTCCATCTCATGCCTTGAGCATCTGACGTTCCCCTGCGGTGGACGGCTGCTTTCAGCATATATATATATATATGTGGTTTCTGTATGCTGAACGCTGGACCTCAACTGCCAGCGTTTACTAAAATCTAGCAGCACAGTTTGCAACAATGCTACAGGGACCTTGATCCTCCTTGTGATTGCCTATGACCTTTGTTTGACCCTGCTCATGACAGGGCAAGCTTGTCGAAGCATGAGGTGATCGTGAAGCACCTGCTGCTCCTGATGTGACAAGTGATCCGGTGGTGGACGCTGCACCAACTGCTACGCCAACTGATCCCAGTGACGCGGACCCGACACCTGACGGCGCTGCAAGCTCCGCTGAGACGAGGCCAACCCACCGCGCGCTAATATCAATTTGGTCCACAAAGGCATCTTTGCGCTTTATTGCTATTTGATGGATCTTGATGTCGTTTGAGACTATATATGTGTGTATATATATATATATTGATGCAAACCACCCACGTCAGCGCCAGGTGGGAGAAATGAGCGTGCTTTGTTGGCCTTTTGCAAGGCCTCTTCAAGGAACTGCTGGACGAGGACAACCGTTGAACGCGCAAGAAGGAAACAGATTTGAAACCAAATGCCCGCCCCAGACATGATACTGAATACTTTGATGATTTGGCGGGGCAGCGCGTACCGAAACCTTCAGAATTTAAAGCAAAAAAACGCGTTTTAGACTGTACAGAAATGCGATGATGTTATGCATGGGTTGTGCACTCAGTAACTTCAATGTTTTTTGGAAGGGTCCTTTTGTTTCCTGTGTATCGGATTTTGTCGGTGGGCATGCCACAGATTGGAAAAAACGCCTTCAATCAATGGCAAAAAGCAGTAGAACTAATGGTTTGTTTGGTGTTGTGCTGTGTTGCGTTTGCAGGCAGCTAGCTGTTGAGGTTCTATTTGCTTCGAAAGGATTGCATCCTGTCACGAGATGATGTCACCTTTGTGTACTACTTGTTTGCCTTCTTGTCCCCCCTGTCACGAGATGCTTTAGTTTAACAAATCGAACTTGCCAAAACCGACCACCACAAAGCGACCCCAAGAACAGTAAGGGTCCAAAGGGGGAGTGAGCACAGGCAAGCAACCCGGGCTAAGCAAAGCGTTTTCACGATCGAGCAACAACGTTGTTTGCAGTATGTTCATATGTTCGGTCAAGGTCTAATGCCAATGCCAAGAACGCACAACCAAAATGTTCACATCCTTGGAAGAAATTGTTGGCGTGAGACCTTTCCTCGTGCAGCCCTCCGCTCTCTCTTTCTCTCTCTCTCTCTCTCTCTCTCTTTCTCTGTGTGACCTCGCCTGATTGCAGCTCGACGACACTCTTCTTCGGTGTTCGGTGTCGTTCAAGTCAGACAGATTTTTCTCCCCAACTTTGAGGGCACGAAGTAGAACATCCTTCATGGATTTCGTGGGAGCGTTTGCTATTTGCTTAAATGTGGGAAACCATTTCAAACTATGAGTCCTTCCTTATCCTTCCTGTATCATTCTCTTGCTGATTAGAAGATCCAACGCCGTTAGGCGTTCCGCCGCCTGATCATACAGCACTTCTGCGTTTGTCACTAGGAGACCTGGTGCAGTGAACTTGGTGCGCCATTCTGGACCTTCATGAATCTTTCCGTAGCGAAGGGCTTCAAAGAGCAGCTGATTGTAGAGCTGGTGATCCGATGCCCGCGGCCATGCTGGATCGGACAACACGCCCCACCTTGTTGGAGTGGTACTCAAGCACGTTTGCTATCGTCGTTCAAGAGGTGAATCTCTCCTGACAGCACCATCATGTTTTTTCCCCAAGGCAGCGTCCAAGTATGTTGCAAAAAGAGGTGATCCCTTCAAGCACGCTTCCCAGCTTTGGCTGCAGCATGCATGTCTGCATGTCCTTCAGGATCTCATTCGCCTCCTTCGCTTCGGCACTCGTCGCTGCATCAACCCGTTGGGCTAAAGAGCGAATCTTGTACATGTATGTACTCTGGAAAAACATGTTGTGATGGCCACCAGCCACCTCATCTTCATGATCAATTGCCCAAATGCAGTCAAGTCTGTTGGCTGCAACTTGCCTTTGTGCTCTGGCATGGTCATTGGCTGGATCTGCATGACATAGTCCGTCATGTCGTCGACCATCTTTTCTTTGGGAAATGTTTCATCTTCATTCCCAAGTAGCCCATTCCTTGTGGTCCTTCTCCCAAGACTTGATGTTGATCTCGCAACAGAAACCATCATCAACGTGAAGGCCGCAAAATGCATAACATGCACCCTGGTGAACTGCTATGAATGTGCTTTGACAAAAAGGTCATGCCAACTTTCTGTAGAAACTCCACGGCCCATAGATACAGACGTGGTGCCTCAGACAAGCCGCAAGCCGATTGCACGACCCTCAAGAGCTCGAATGGTGCCTTGACATAGACCTTCTCTCTCTCTCTCTCTCTTTGCGTGCTTCCCAGCTGCTACATCGAATGCGTAGCACAGCCAATTCAGTCTCACTGCAATGCTTTTCATCATGCGAATGGCCGTTGGTGATGTGGTTTGACTATCACTGGGGTGTTCTCCTAATCCTGGGTCAGTGTGACCTGGAATGACCACAGGTGACTTTGCCTGCAATTTATTTGGATCTTTGAACTTGTTCACCCGGACAACTCTGAGTGGCAAACGAAAGATGGCTGACTTCAGAACCCTTCGAGCTTCATCGGACGACAAACGACGCACAACCCCGTTCCGAATCCGCGCTTCCACTCTTTCATGTCTGAGTCCTGAAAGGCTTTCGCTTCTTCTTCGCTGAACCACCGAGGATTCAGTTCTTTTCCAGAAGCTTTCAACAAGCAAGATGGTCCTGTAGACCTCCCACTCTTCTCTCTTTGAACTAGCTCTTTCCATGCTTCTGTGGACCCTTTTCCTTTTGGTTCTTGGCCAAATTGACCTGAAACACTTCTCTTCCGATTTGCAAAAAGACCTTTTCCTGTTCTTTCTGGCCGTCCTCCTTTCTTTGGGTCTTGCAAAAAGCGTCAGACCTCTCCATGGCATGGAAATTATTGTTTTTTGTGTTTGCACTCTAGTACATAGTATGTCTACCTTGGACTGGGGAAATCGGTTTTGCTGCAGGCGTTCCAGATGGGTTTTACAGCAACCAAAAAGTGCATCCAAAGGATTCGTGGAGGAAATTGGCTTTGCCGCAGGGGTTCCAAATGCGTTCCAAGTTGGTCCGCATCGTCCAAACATGCACAACACATCAACAACTTTCGTGTGCCAGCACGCGCGTGACGAGTCCCGCCACATGTGTAAGGAAACAACCATATAAGGTCGAAATATGTCCGAAAATACCCACTTGCATGTTTTTATGTTTTTGAAAGGGCGGAGTTGCGCTTTTGGAATTGCAATGTCGTGGTTCTGCTTGAGTGTAGCATGACTGTTGAAAACAAACCAAACTGAACTCATGCTGTTTGGCGTCGATGCGAAAGTACGCGCTGCGGGAGCTGGGGTGGGAAGATATTTTTTGCATTCCATGGGAAGCGGCGAAAAGACTAGGAAAGTGTCGCAAGGATCGGGAGTGTCATTGCAAACGAGGTAGAAACCCGACTCATGGCCATAAATTTTGGCAATTCAAGCAGTAATCACTGCGCAAAGCAACTGACTGTCTCATTTTCTCTTGCACTTTCGCGTTTCTCGTCGTGCAATTTTGCATGTAGAAAACAAGGCCACACACTGTTGGTTTGCAGCTGGTTCCTTTGTTTCCGTTCTCTCTCTGCTGCTGTTGTTTGTGCCCTCTCTTTTTATTTGCTCGCCCTTCACTCGTCGTGTAGCTCCTGGGCGTTCTTTGCAGCCTGTAGAGATCGTTTGCTTTCTGCATATGTGTAGGCGAAGTCGCCAGTGGTGTAGAGTCACCGGGTGGAGTGAACGTGAGTTCATATTGTGCATGTCGTGGTGCCCACATGTGCCCACGGTCGGGTTGTTGTCGTCTGACTCAGACTCTACGAACTCTGACAACTTGTGGCGGTTGCTCGCAGCACTCGCTGGTGTCACCAAGCCGAATGCCTGGTGTCAAAACACTGCAGAGCTGTCACCTTTGTGAATGTTATCTTTGTCGATCTTCTTGCGTGGTAGCAACACTCCCGATGGTGGCAGGAAGCGAGGCTGTCTATTAACGAACAGGCCATGGTAGTAGTAGTAGTAGTAGTAGTAGTAGTAGTAGTAGTAGTAGTAGTAGTGAGTGCTTGTTGTCGACAAGTTCCACAGGCTTGCTGTGGTAGTGCTTGCTCTTGCTTGAAAAGTGTCCTGTGGTAGCGTTCTAATGTCCATGGATATCTGAAGAGCAATAGGGTGGTGCATTGGGCACTGTCATGTTGCCAAGTTTTGTGCCTGCTATCATTTTGTTGCTTTGCTTCCAGTGTTGGTTTGTTGTCGCTTTGAAAGATATTGAGAGTGCGGCCGCATTGCAGTACAAAGTATTGCCATGATCTCCTCATCCGTTTGTGCTTTGACGGAGGCAAAAAATCTCTTTGTGTGACTGGTTGTCGTTCAGTGTTCTTCTTGTAGGCGTTTTTTTGCCTTTCGTTCGTGCGCATATTGGACACCAACTTCAGTAGGGTAAGTGTGTGAGTTTGTTTTTCCCGAGAGCGTCTGCGAATGGTTCTTCGTAAAAAAACATCTGCAGAATACATCTTCACATCTTCACCTCTGCACATTCACATTCTCACCTATATCTCTGCTCATCTGCACATTCACATCTCTCCTCATCTGCTCACCGATATCTCTGCTCATCTGCATATCGACATCTCTCCTCATCTGCTCATCTGCACATCTACATCTCTCCTCATCTTCACATCCTCACATCTACATCTCTGCTCATGTTCATCTTCACACATCTACATCTCTGCTCATGTTCACATCTGCGTATGTACATCTCTGCTCATCTTCACATCCTCACATCTACATCTCTGCTCATCTTCACATCCTCACATCTACATCTCACATCTTCACCTCTCGCTCTTCTTTACTTTCTCTCTTAAGGCCGGGGG